TGTATATCTCAGAGAAGTACATAAAAAGTAAACTGGAAGTATACTCTTATTTTAAAGTTTAAAAGTATACTTAAAGGATACTTGCACATATAGCTACTTTTTGTTAAGTGAATAGCTAAAAATACTGAAACTAACCTAAATTTGACTATAAAAAGTAGCTGAAATTAGAACAGATAGAGCACCTTTGCTGAATTAAGCAGTAAGAAACTGAAATTATCACAAAAATGTAAATTTAGCTGAAAAAGCTCAAACAAACTGAGTAGCTAAAAAACACAAAAACAGCTTAAATTAGCAGAAAGAAGCCGAAAGATACGGAGCCTATATCTAAAAATACAGAAAAAAGCTGATGTCAGCACAATAGATCGATCAGTTGTTCACTCGGATCACAGACAGGTGATGTGAGGACATCCACCAGAGAACACGTGTTCATAAGGTTCTGGGTTCCGGTTCTGAGTCCAAACCCTCACCCCTCTGAGACATGACATATTAAGAACCGAACATGCCGAACCGGGTCAGGCTTTGACAGCGACAGAACCAGCTGTCTTCCGACAGTGGGCTTCGGCCTCAGACCCAGCAGTCAGTCTGAGGTTCAGGTTCGGTACTAACCGATGTCTCCACAGTAATATGAAGCGGAACCTCCGATTTCCATCCTCCTCTTCTTTCACAGGTTTTTTACCAGAAACAGACCAGAACCGACATGACGGGTTCGTAAACAACCGGCTGCATGAGTCACGTGACGCACCTGAACCTCGCGGTGCATGCTGGGAGTTGTAGTTTTTTTTAATGACCCACAAACACTAATAAATTATTGTTGAGTACTACTGCGGAGCTCGCAAGGGGACATGGGGGGATTTTTTTTCCTTTTGCGTTCCCGCGCAATACCTTTGCGTTCCCTCGCAACACCTTTGCGTTCCCTCGCAATACTTTTGCGTTCCCTCGCAATACTTTTGCATTCCCTCGCAATACGTTTGCGTTCCCTCGCAATACCTTTGCGTTCCCTCGCAATACTTTTGTGTTCCCTCGCAATACTTTTGCATTCCCTCGCAATACTTTTGTGTT